TTAGATAAAAATTTGTCCTATACTCTGTCGAATTGGTCTCTACAATGTACAACAATAGGTAGTTCTCATACGAGGAGCCTCATCAGACGCTTTCAGTGAACAAACAACTATCAAGTTACCATCAGAATACTCGCAAATTCGAACTTCAATATGTTAAACCCTCTCGTTATATCTTATGCAATCACATTCTTTTAATCATGGAGCATAAACTTACGTAGAATTGGCGTTTTGACAACTTAATCGTATTATCAGGTTGACCTCAGAGAACGTAACATGTTGGTAAATACTGTCGTAGCAGTCATGATAATTTCCAGCGCCGGAGCCTGGATTTGGTACACTCACGAACGTTTCATCGGCATCGTCAATGAGCCTTGTCATGCTTAGCACCAAGCCACAACTCGCAACCAAAAATTAAACAATGCAGCTTGCTAAAGTCATAGCTTGTCTGATTAATTCCCATTCATTAAGTATAGGACACTGAGAGTTATGTTTTAATTATGACAATTTAAAGAAAGGCTATCAGTCGTTGCATATTTATAATGCCATTCATTAAAAGTAGAGCTGGCCAAAACTTTATTAAACATGCAAAAAGGATACTAACCTCATTTCTCTTTTCTCTTTCATTCCGTGTATTTCTCACCTCCTTTACTTCATTTTAGTTCGGTCTTAAGGAGAAAAATGCCCAAATAAAAAGCAACCTGGAATACTCAAAATGCCTTGTTAACGACATCAAATCGACTTCACAAGGTAAGTTTCAAGTCTTCGCTTAAGTCATCGATCTAATCATGCTTGGTCTAAACAGACTGCAATAGACAAATCAATTATGCATGAGATGCATTCATCCTATTTCGTTAAAAGTTGAAAAGGGACTGATAGTTGAATTTTCTCACAATGACATGAGTAGAGCTGAATTTTCCATTGCATTTTACGTAGCGTTGCCTTCCTAAAGGGCATTCTCATCCAGGTTGTACCGCAGTTTCGAAATCGCCTAGGTCTTATCAGCATTCCCAGCGGGACTCGAACCGTGGCTGTTCAACGTATAATTTAGACAAGTTAGCAGCAACCCCACGCTACCACGAATGTCGTTGGGTCACAGGGCAGATGTGAGCTTCAAGTAAGGCCAGGCCTTTTCCAATATCAGATTCTGTGGTGGGATTGCCGACGAAGCAAACATATTTTTGCTCTAACAATCAACTACATTACTTATTTTTTCGTTTATAAGTAGGTTTCCGAGTCATCCCGCATGCATGATTTACTGGCAGTTTCGATGACTACTGCTATTTCGAGTCGATCCTCGTCGAGACGTGATGACAGAAATCTGTAGTATAATGTGTTGGTCAAATTTAACGAATTGCTTGCTTTGGTTTGACTTCGCTTTCGCAATTTGATTGGGACGATAGTAAGACCTTGTGGAATATACCTAGTCCTGCGTCCTCTGCAATTGTGTCATTACGGCTTCCATCATCGGGCCATTCACTTGGTGCATTCACAGACGTTTCGACGGCATCGTAGTCAGCGTCGTCAGTGAGAGGAGCCGTTGCGAGCACGGAGTTACAGCCTATCAAAGTGACAAGTTATTAATTTTCTGTCCGATCGATGCCTCATCATTCCTCGATCCTACCTTCTAGTACTGTACCTCTTTCTCACAACCCCACTTAATATCGCCTATTTACCTATTCACACCATTCTGTGTTCTCGTTTTTTCCAATAACACTTAAGAGTATGTCGCTCTAAGTGGATTTAGCGAAGCATAATCACATGCACCACCGGTTTTAGATGCCGTCTGCCGAGCTTCTGACTTTCATTTAGCCCCCATCTACCCCGCTTATCAGAGTTGCTCTGTTACACATGAAAATCACTGTTGGGGAGACCATCATTTCATATGAAAGTGCACGAAGAAGCCATTCGTAGGTTAATCCTACCATAAGATGACGACTGAATCCCGTTGTACTGCAGCCGTTTGGCTTTGATACGACGTTCAAGGTGATGCTGTTCACGAGACATCCTCCCTCGCTTCTGGTCAAAACGTGCTATGCTTTCGTCCATAATATGATGGAAATGATCAGAACGTTAACTCATTCTTGTAAAAGTCTCACGTTTACACTAGGCCAAGAAGACTATCCAACTCTATCTTACCTCTAATATATGCTCATAACTTCTCCTACTGACTCAAACTTTTGCCAAACGAAATGATCATCGAGAATTTTCTCTGGAACCCTTGCTAGTTTCGATATTGTGATTAGGACTCTTCTTGTTTTGGTGTTCCAAGCTCCGTGAGAACATAGATAATCTTTTGAGTTATCTTAACTTTTAACAAAAAATGTGTGATGAACATATTCGCAGGTCGATCTCACAACAAGACGACAATAGAAAAATTGTTGTTTGGCTTAATGGCATGCTGATGTGACGCTGCCTCCGAGACAGTCACTTTTGTCTAAGAGGGATAGTTGCATAGCTTTATTTACTTTAAGAGTAGGTTTTCAATATTTCATGGAGGAAAATTCAATGATTAATAATACATCATTCTTTGCGACCTAAATCTACAGATATTTTCGAATCCAACCCAATCAAAATAGTTTTACCCCTCAAAATTCTGAATGTGTCATTGCCTCTGGCGTAAGGGTGCCATTGAAGTTTTCCGTTTTTATAAGTGGGTTTTCGAGGCTACTATTCGACTATGAATAAGAACTGTATTCACTTATTTCGTTACTGTAAGGAAGAAATAATAGTTGCATTTTCCCTCATTCATATTACGTTTCAATTGAATTTCATATGGCCTTGCTTCCCAAAGGGTATTCGCATTCACGATGGATTAAGGTTGCCACCTCGCTTAGGTTAAATCATCACTCGTGACGGGGCTCGAACCCAGGTAGTGTAGCGCATGGCCCCGACACATTAACCACTCCGCCCTACTGCCACGAGTGCCTTTGGGCCATAGGGTAGCTCCACAAAAATGTGATATAGAAAATGCCTAGGCTCCCTTTAAACTTGCTCCTGACCTGTGACACAAAGAGTATCCGTGTCCATGTGGCATAGTGGCTAACGTGTTAAGCTTATACGCGGCCCTACCACAGCCAAGGTTCGAGTCCCGAAGGAGATGCTGATGAGACCGAGGCGAGGTTGAAATACAGCCCACTCAAGCCTGGATGAGATTACCTTTTGGGAAGTAATGTTATGTCAGATTCAATAGAAACATGAGGCATACTCGTTTGATTGTGGGAAAATTCAACTGTCGGTCCTTCATCTTCTTAAATGCAATAGGAGGAATACAGCTTTCGTGATATTGGAGTTAGCACATTCTTGCTTTCCAAAAGGCATACTCATCTAGGGTGGACTTGAGGAATGGCAAATACATGCTTGCTTAAGCGACATTCGCACCATTAAATTGTGGCATACAAAAGACCTTATTTATCATAAAGTTCACTTTTGCACTGTGACTGACAAGACATCATGGTCGTGTGGCGTAGCTGTAACATGTCAAAATTATACACTACGTTAGCCGGGTTCGATTCAGGATGGGGATGCTGAGGCACAGGCGGGAAAGAAACTATGGTACAGCCCAGCCTTGATGAGTACCTTTTGTGAAGCAAGGCTATGGGATATTTAATGGCATCGTGAGGCCCACTTATCTCATTTTGGGAAAATTTACTACCACTTTATTGTCAACTTTAGCGATATAGAGTTGCCAAATGTCTTATTCAAGATATATTGATAGTCTCTAGGTCCCGAAGAATATTTAGCACCTTTTGACCCTTGTAGATGGAGTCAGCCAGAACGTTCAGGTAAATCTAAAATACAGTTGGCCAAGAGGAATTCGTCATCCTTTTCTGGTTGGATCAAGCTTCTAGTCTCCCTCATCACATACTTTCCCTTTAAATAGAACTGGCCTAAACACTTATAAAGCTAGAGATTCAATATTAATGTAGATTATATCTTCCCCAGAACGCGAACCCCCCTAATAGTTTGTTTTTGCTTTCTCTATAGCCCATCCGAGGGGCTATTTCCAAGAGGATTGTATCCTTAATCCATCCATAATTCGGTTTTAGCCTTAGATAGCATAAAATGATAAAGGAATGATAGTTAAACTTTTCCACAATAGTGTGAGTGGGCCTCACAATTTCAGTACTTTTGCCTAACCTTGCTCCCACAAAGGTATTATCATTCAAGATGGATAGCAATTTCGACCTCACCTGTGTTTCAGTGCTGTCCATAGCTGGACTTGAACCTAGTTAGAGCGGCGTATACTTTATGCATGTTCTCATTACGTCAACCTGCCACGAATGCCAGTATCTCACTTGACAGATGTGAATTTCAAGTCTAGCCAAATGACATTTTGTATGAAGGCCATCTACAAAACAAACTTGTATTTGCTATTTCGATATACTAAATTACTTATATTCAAATTAAGTAAGCCTCCTAACTTCCAGTATATGTCTGATTTAAGTTGTATTCCTCCTTGGTCGCCTAAGGCCATCAAAGAATAATAGGTGAATTTTCCCACATTGGTTTAAGCGGACCTCACAATGCCAAATAATTTTACTCATACTTGACTCCTAAAACTGGCATGATCTTGTAGTAATTGTTATCATTTTTACATTCGTCGCCCCAAACCTCTTGAACCAAATTTACACATTCACATACATACACACACACACTAATGCATATCCTCCAATTGTCACTAACCAGTACAACTAAATTCCCAAACCTCAACATCTTCGCCCAGTCCAACGATAGTTGAGGTCCCCCCGCCACCTCACTCCGGTAGGCCGCGATCTACTCAACCTCCATCATCAAAAGCCACATTCAGCCAATCGCCTGTCCATGCTAACAACACAAATCACAACAATAGCAGCAACATCAATAACGGCACTAGCAAGGCTTATCGGGCAGAAGAGTCCCCATCGCGTGTAAAATGTGACTCCATGCCTCTGTCCAGCATCGAGAGCACAAGACCTCCAGCACTTCCTGTTAAGGCAGTCTTTGGTACCACAAAAATAATGCGTCAGAAACAACAGCACAAGACAAGACAGCACGAGCTGACCAAACAACCACCGATCTATCGGCAGAGATCGGTAGACGCCAGCTGGGACCGTCGGGACCAGACGAGCCCTATTGGCGGTCACAAGGCGGTACAGGCCAGCAGAGGCCTAACCTCTGAGATTGGCCAACCTCAAAATCCCGTCAGACAGAATCATCGACACTCAGTCGGCGCCTCGACTGG